CTCAAAAAAAGCTCCTCCTATTTGAATCCTGGAAATTTGTGCTCAAGAGCTCAAACATTTAAATAGAAATCCTGGTTTTTGACTTTCGGAGCTTAAAGAAATTATTCTAGAGCTGAGTGTACAGCCGAAAAAATCAAGTTTTTTGAGTTTTGCAGCTCGAAAAATGGAATTTTCAGCCCCAGATCGGAATTGGACGGCTAAAATAGTTTTCTTGAACTCTGAATATGCTCTAGAGCTAAAAATCTAGTTGGAAATCCTCTTTTGAGCTCTGCAGTTTCAAAAATTTAAAAAAATGTTAATTAATTGCTTTCTTTTGAATATAGTTAATTATTTATCAAAAAATGAATAAATTATTAATATACAACATCAATTATGCTAATTAATTATCACTTGAAAGCTCAAAGTGGTGGCTGGAAAAAATTCGAGAGGTTTGCTCAAAAAATCCGAAAAAATCAGAAAATATCATCTAAAAGTATTCGGTGGAAAATGTACAAGTTCAAAAAATATATTTAAAAAAGTCAACACAAATTCACTCACAGTATTCTGTCATTTTTTTTCGAATCATTCGATTTTCGGCTTCTTCTCGTTAAAATAGCCCTTTTCCAAAAATTGGAAATTTACTTACAGCCGTTCATACTTGAATAAGCCTAAGCTTCATATAGTCTATGTGGGTTGAACCTATAGACCTCTTAACAATATGGCCTAAGCCTAAAAACACAGACTGAGTAGAAGCCTAAGCCTAAGCCTAAGGTTTAGTTAAGCCTAAATTTAGAAACCCAAAACTCCTTTTTGTGAATTTTTCACTAGAAAATGTTGTTGTTGATGCTATTCAACTTTTTTTTCGAAAAAACTAGATCAAAGTTCAAATGTTTTCTATTCATAGAAAAAATTCATGTTTTTTTGATAACAAAAATGTGAATAGTAAATTAATTGCACCTGTCCTAATCAAATCAAACAGCGTGTATTCGGAGCTCAAAAAATCAAAAAATCCCAAAAAAAAAATTTTGGAGCTCAAAAAATGTTTTACACAAAATTTGCATGTATTTTTTCAGGCTGTCTGTTACAAAAGCGCCATGTGGGTTTTTTTGAGGCCGAAATTTGGATTTTTGGAGCAGTTTGAGCTCGGAAACATGACTTTTCGTAAAATTGAGATATTCGTTTGTCAGGCCGTGAAAAAACTTGAAAATCTGGAAATTTGTGATTTTTTGAATGGAGCATTTTGAGCCTGGAAAAATGACTTTTCGTAAATTGGGGAGTTTAGGTTTTGCATCAGTGAAAAAACGAAAATTTGAAATTTTTTGAGCATTTTTGGAGCATTTTGAGCCCGCAAACTTCTTGCTGTAAAATTTGAATCAAAGGGCTTTCCGCGCTTCTGTGATTTAAAAATCTGAAATTTTGAGAATTTCTCACATCTCAAAGGACCAATTTTCAACCAAAAATCAACATTTCTCTGAAATTCAGGATTTTCAGCCAAAAATCACCGAAATTTCCAGACAAATAGCTACGACACTCCGCTTCTCGAACACCTGTACCTGAAAAAAACAAAAACAACTTTCGACAACTGTATTTGGTCCTGAGTGGATCCAGATCAGCCAGTTTAAGCCTTTTGGCGGGAAATTTGAAAATTCAATTATTGATTAAATTCTTGAAAATAACCCCTTTGACCGAAACCTTTGCTTTAAATCATTTCCAGATCCGAGTTTGGTGCACGAAAATGGCGCAATTTATTTTATTTTTTGTGATTTTTTCTGAATAAATTTTTTCATTTTCAAAGGTAAAAGCGGAAAGTTGTTTGATGAAGCAAATTCATTTCTACAAAAATTCAAAATATCTGAAATTTTCAGCAATTTTAAGTAATTTCATATTTTCAGCAAAAAAGGCCGGTCCGGAAATGTGCCTAATTTTTCCGATAAATTGATCAAGAAAAAAAAAAAGTTTTCCGAAAACTTCTTTTCCGTCATATACAAATGACTTAAAATATCTGAAATTTTTAGCTTTTATTTTTGCCACGTGTACTCTCTACAGTAATCTCTCCAAAAATTTTGGAAAAATCAGAACAATATTATCCAAAAAAATGATCCGGGTGGAAAATGCCGTTTCAAAAATCATTGAAAAGAATATCCGGGAGAGGTAAAAAATCGTTTTTTTGATGTTGAAGATGCAATAGTTTCGATTGGGAAGAAGATTGAACAATTCGAGTATACGCTTTTTTTTTCCTCAAAAATCTGTTAGTTCTCCTCTTCTTCTTCATACTCAAACCAATAATTACAATTTGCTCGGTGATTCCTGCGGCTTATGAACATGACAACGATGCTTGCACACAAAGATCACGTTTTTGGAATCACTGAAAGATTATATACTTCAATAAAATTACTTGTTCCTTTCTTTTCTCTTATTCTCGAATCTGACATAGTAGGTAATATCCTGATTAAGCTGACAAAAAGAAGTGATGTTCTGACAAAATAGAGTGATGTTCTGAGCCGCCTCTTTTATAGCCCCAAAAATGTGGAACACGTAAGAAATTTATCATTATTTCATCGAAACAATAACACGTTTCAAAAATGCGTGTTTCATTTTTTTGGGATGAATAAAAATCATTTTCATTTTCTGTTTTCTGGCAATTTTTTTGTGAAAAATTCAGAAAATTTGCAATTTTTGGTTTATGGTTTGTGAGTTTCTAAATTTTCTGTGATTTTCAGCCAAAAAAATCCTGAAACTTTCACAAAAATCCACATTTTTCAGATTTGCTCGAAACTTTGCTCAATTCTTCATTTTTTCTCTTCATGCCGTTTTTATTTGGTCAGTTTTATTTTGTATTGTTCCGAAAAATCAAAAATCCGTAGTTTTAATTGGAATTTTCTTGCAGATACTATTTCGAAAAGGATTCTGCTGTTATTTTCCGGTTCAATGTATTTGCTGCCAGCTGAATATTTTGTATGTTTATGGGATTACTGTAGGTCAAATTTTGCATCAAAAATGCCCTAGAAACTCAAATGTTTGAGCTCAAAAGCAAAAAATGATCTATGGGCTTAATTTTTGGTCTAAACCCCGGTTTTTGAGCTCAGAAGCTTAAAAATAACCAAGAAACCTGTATTTTGAAATTAGGACCTTGAAAATGATATAAGGAAGCCTTTAAAAAGCCTGAAATTTGAAAAAAAATCGATTTTGCAAGTTTGTGAGCAAAAATTCGCTAAATTTTGTTAAATTTCGAGAGAAAACAATATATTTTTGCCCGAAAACCTGAATTTCAGTGAAAATTCGAGTTTTTTCAGCTGGAATCTTGAAATAAAAATTGCTCTGAATTTTTCTAGCTTTAAATTTGAATTTTTCAAGAAAATTTGAAGAAAAAATCGAATTTTTGAAGAAATTTCAGGATTTTGATAGAAATCTAGAATCTTATTCTCAAACAGACCTGTCGTTTTTGGGCGGCCGGGCCGGGCCAGCCCTTCAAAATTCAAAAAATGCGGGCTTTTTCGGCCCTCCGGCCCTTCTTTTTTTATGAGAGGCTGTTTCAGCCCTTTTTTCGGCCCTTCATAATTTTTTGATGACAATTCGGGATTTTTACAAATGGATGATTTTGCTCAAATTTTCTGCATTTGGGCGACTTTTGTAAATCAGAATAACTTATATTAGTGTTAGTGCACCAACATTTCTTCTAAGTAATGTTTTGGTGCAGGATCGTAATGGTGAAACACATGAATTTCAATAAATTTCACTTTTATTATCAATCCACCATTAGGAACACGAAATACGCCAATTTTCTTCCGCCAAAATGCAAAAATTCGAAAGAAACACCATTGAAAAATAGTGCATTTACACAATAAAATTTGTTGGAAAGGCCGGGCTGAGCCAGCCCATTTACCCTATTTGGGCTGGCTAGGCCGGCCCTTCACATGGCTGGCCCGAGGGCCGCAAATAGCCGCAAAACGACAGGTCTGTTCTCAAAAATTAATTTGCAGACCACAGTGGTAAATGAAAATGATTTTTTCCAAAAGCAGTTAGGAAGGTCCCTAAGGTAGATTAGAGAATTTGAAGGGTCCCTAAACGTGTTTCGACTCAAAATAAGCCGATTTCTTTGCAGAATGTTCGAATTTTTTATGGCTCATGGACACAAAACCCGACATTAACAAAGACAAATCGAAATATTTCGGCAAAATTGGTGTTGCAATGAACGAGTTGAAGAATCAAGAAGAGTAACGAGCCTGATTTCTTTCCAATATTTTTGAAACGTACTTTTTCCACCCGAACATTTTTGAATGATATTTTCTGATTTTTTCAGAATTTTTGAAATAGGAGAAATCGAGATTCGTAACTGAATGAATGAAGATTGGCTGAAATTGTGTTGTTTTTTTATAATAAATTTTTGATTTTTTTTTGTCCAGAGGGGATCTGGCTAACTTTTTGAAAATATAACAATTTACACCCCAAAAACCAAGTTTTTTCTCTTTTTTTAAGGGGATCTGGCTAATTTTTGTATTTTCACATTCCGGGGGTAGCTAAACGCTGGAAACATTGATTTTTAGCAATTTGAAGTAATTTCAGCATTTTCACCCGAGTTTTTTCCAAAAAAAAATCGACCCGAGTTTTTTCCAATTTTTTCGGAACAAAACTGACCAAATAAAAACAGCATGAAAAGAAAAATGAAGAATTGAGCAGGGTTTCGAGCAAATCTGAAAAAAATGTTGATTTTTGTGAAAGTTTCAGGATTTTTTGGCTGAAAATCACAGAAAATTTAGAAACTCACAAAGCATAAACCAAAAATTGCAAATTTTCTGAATTTTTCACAAAAAAATTGCCAGAAAACAGAAAATGAAAATGATTTTTATTCATCCCAAAAAAATGATACACGGATTTTTGAAACGTGACATTGTTTCGATGAAATAATGATAAAGATCTTACGTGTTCCACATTTTTGGGGCTATAAAAGAGGCGGCTCAGAACATCAATTTATTTTTGTCAGAACATCACTCTTTTTGTCAGCTTGTCAGGATTTTTCTACTATGACTGATTCGAGGTAAGAGAAAAGAAAGGAACAGAGTAATTTATTGAAGTATATATTCTTTCAGTGATTCCAAAAACGTGATCTTTGTGTGCAAGCATCGTTGTCATGTTCATAAGCCGCAGGAATCACCGCAAATTGTAATTATTGGTATTGAACATGAAGAAGAAGAGGAGGCAACAGATTTGAGAAAAAAAAAGCGTCTACTCGAATTGTTCAATCTTCTTCCCAATCAAGCTATGCATCTTCAACATCAAAAAAAACGATTTTTGCACCTCTCCGGATTTCTTTCCAATTGTTTTTGAAACGTACATTTTCCACCCGGATTTTTTTGGATAATATTTTCTGATTTTTTCAGAATTTTTGAGGGGATTACTGTAGAGTACACGTGGCAAAATTAAAGCTAAAAATTTCAGATATTTTAAGTCATTTTTTGTGGCTGAAAAAGTTTTCGGAAAACTTTTTTTTCTTGATCAATTTTTCCAGAAAAAATTAAACACATTTCCAGACCCAAATTTTGTGCTGAAAATGCTGAAATTACTTAAAATTGCTGAAAATCAATTGATTTTTGTAGAAATGAAATTGCTTCATCAAACAATGCTCCGCTTTTACACCTTTGAAAATGAAAAAAATTTATTCAAGAAAAAATCACAAAAAATAAAATAAATTACTCCTTTTTGAGGCTCGAGCTGCAAAAAAAAATCAATAATTTTTGAATTTTCAAATTTCCCGCCAAAAAATAAACTAACTGATCATTGGATCCACTCAAGACCAAATACGGTGTCGAAAGTTGTTTTTGTTTTTTCAATTGTTTGCTGAGTGTTCCGAGCGGAGTGTCGTAGCTATTTGTCTGGAAATTTCGGTGATTTTTTGGCTGAAAATCCTGAATTTCAGAGAAATGTTGATTTTTGGTTGAAAATTGGTCCTTTGAGATGTGAAATTCTCAAAATTTCAGATTTTTAAGCTTTCACAGAGCCTGGAAAGCCCTTTGGTTCAAATTTTACAGAAATTCAAGTTTCCGGGCTCAAAATGCTCCAAAAATCAAAAAATTTCAAAATTTAAGGTTTTTTCACGGTCTGGAAAGCCCTAAACTCCCAATTTTACGAAAAGTCATTTTTCCGGGCTCAAAATGCTCCAAAAATCACAAAATTTCAGATTTTCAAGTTTTTTCACGGCCTGAAAAGGCCCGAGCTCTCAATTTTACGAAAAGTCATGTTTCCGAGCTCAAACTGCTCCAAAAATCCAAATTTCGGCCTCAAAAAAACCCACGTGGCACTTTTGTTTCCCAGCCTGAGAAAATACATACAAATTTTGTGCTCGTGATTTTTTTGAGCTCCAAAAATTTTTTTTTTGGGATTTTTGATTTTTTGAGCTCCGAACACATGTTTTTTGATTTGATTAGGACCCAGGTGCAATTAATTTTCTATTCACATTTTTGTTATCAAAAAAACATGAATTTTTTCTATGAATAGAAAACATTTTGAACTTTTTGATCTAGTTTTTTCGAAAAAAAAAGTTGAATAGCATCAACAAAACAACATTTTCTAGTGAAAAATTCACAAAAAAAGGTTTTGGGTTTCTAAATTTAGGCTTAACTAAAACCTTAGGCTTAGGCTTAGGCTTCTACTCAGTCTGTGTTTTAGGCTTAGGCTTATTGTTAAGAAGGTCTATAGGTTCAACCTAGACTATATAGGCTTAGGCTTATTCAAGTATGAACAACTGTAAGTAAGCTTTCCAATTTTTTTGGAAAAAATTTTATTTACAACGAGAAGAAGCCGAAAATCGAATGATTCGAAAGAAGACAGAATACTGTGGTGAATTTGTGTTGTTTTTTTAAATATATTTTTGAAACGTACATTTTCCACCCGGATTTTTTTAGATGATATTTTCTGATTTTTTCAGAATTTTTTGAGCTGGAACTTCTCGAATCACACCAGCCACCACTTTGGCTTCAAGTGATAATTAATTAGCATAATTGATTATGTAATTAATAATTTATTCATTTTTTGATAAATAATTAACTATATTCAAAAGAAAACAATTAATTAACATTTTTTTAAATTTTCAGAGCTGCAGAGCTCAAAAACAGGATTTCCAGCTAGGTTTTTAGCTCTAGAGCATATTCCAGAGTTCAAGAAAACTAATTTAGCCGTCCAATTCTAAGATCTGGGGCTGAAAATTCCATTTTCAGAGCTGCAGAGCTCAAAAACTTGATTTTTCAGCTGTACTTTCAGCTCTAGAGCATAATTTCAAGCTCCGAAAGTCAAAAACAGGATTTCTAGTAAATGTTTGAGCTCTTGAGCACAAATTCTAGCTCCAGAGTTCAAATAGGGCTTTTTTTGGTAATTTTCAGGTTCTAGGCTTGAAATCTGCTATTTTTCAGACTTCCTGCCTGAAATTTCAGTTTTTTCTCAAATTTCATACCTAAAACCTAGGCTTCAGGTTGTTTTCTTCAAAATTTCAAGATTTTTTACTGAAATTCCAGCTTTTTCCTCACCCGAAACCTTGATTTTTCAAATTTCAATGTTTCGGGTTCGGGAAAAGCTGAAACTTTCAGATTTTCCTAATATTCTTTAAATTTTCCCCAAAAATACTTACATTTCACTCAAAATCCGTTGTCCAATCATTCAATTGTTGTTTTGTCCGCCAAAATCCAATTTCGCTTTCATCCAAAATGTTTCTCTAAAAATAATCATGAAAAACCACGGGATTTTTGAATTTCCGGTGAAAAATACGTAAAAATCAAACCTGACAACTCGAAATCGGCATTTTCCGAAACATTCATACAAAATTCGATTCTGAAAAAATTAAAAATCAATTTTTGACGAAAAAAATAGAGAAAAATTAACATTTCGAAAGAAAACAACTAAAATACAAACTAAATTCCTCAAATTACATCTAGAAATCAAAAAACTCTTCAATTTCAGACAAATTTCAGCTATTTTCAGATGACCGTCTCAAAAAAAACAAGAAATGAACAGAAATGTGTAAACACGTGAGATGACGCAAAAATGCACACAAAAAAATGCGGACGTTTGAAAATTTGTTTTTTTTTGTTTTTCGAAGTTGTAAATCATTTCCTGGGAGCTTTTAAACTTGAAAAAACTTGAAAAAAAAGAAAAATCCAACAAAGCGCTAAACAACGGGCAAGTCGTCATTTTGCGGAGTGTCGTTGCACACACTTTTTTTCATTTTTTGGTGAAAAATCAATCGATTATTGTGGTTTTCGAGTGAAAATTGATGAAAAATGTGGATTTTGGTTAGAAATGTGAAATTTTGAGTTGAAAATCAATGTTTCCAGCATTTTCAGCACAAAATTTGAGTCTAGAATCTTGAAATTCTTGAAAATAATTAAATGAAGCATTAATGAAGCACAAATCTGCTTGAAAAATAGTTTCGCGCTGAAATTTTGTGCTGAAATTATCAGCATTTTCAGCTGAAAAATTGAAGTTCGGAACACATTTTTGGGGCTATAAAAAGGCGGCTCAATGAGCATCACTTTATTTTCGAAAGCTAGAAATACTAGAAAAATTTTCGCAATCCATTCAAGCGAAAAATGGAAAAGTAAGAGAAAAGAAAGGAACAGAGTAATTAATTGAAGTATATATTCTTTCAGTGATTCCAAAAACGTGATCTTGGTATGTAAGCAATCATTTTGAAATCTTTTTTGAAAAATATTTCCAATATTTTTGAAACGTACATTTTCCACCCGGATTTTTTTGGATAATATTTTATGATTTTTTCAGAATTTTTGAGGGGATTACTGTAGAGTACACGTGGCAAAATTAAAGAAATAATTTCAGATATTTTCAGCCATTTTTTGTGGCTGAAAAAGTTTTTCGCAAACTTTTTTTTCTTGACCAATTTTTCCAGAAAAATTCAAAAACATTTCCTGACCCAAATTCCGTGCTGAAAATGCTGAAATTACTTGAAATTTCTGAAAATCAATTTTTCCAGCGTTTTCAGCACAAAATTTGAGTCTAGAATCTTGAAATTCTTGAGAATAATTAAATGAAGCATTAATGAAGCACAAATCTACTTGAAAAATAGTTCCGCGCTGAAATTTTGTGCTGAAAATGCTGAAATTACTTAACATTATCAAAAATGATAATTTTCAGCATTTTCAGCTGAAAATTTGAGTACGGAACCATGTTTAAAGCAAGGTTTTTGGTCAAGGAACGCTTCATTTAATTATTTTCAAGAATTTTATCAAAAGACTGAAAATATCTGAAATTTTGAGCTGCTGTCACTGTAGAACATTGAGTTACTGTAGAAATAGGACACAGAAAAGAAGATGATATTTAGAGACGGTCAGAAAGAAGAATTACGCGAGAGGAGAGATCAAAATATTTCCAATATTTTTGAAACGTATATTTTCCACCCGGATATTTTTGGATGATATTTTATGATTTTTTCAGAATTTTTGAGCTGGAACTTCTCGAATCACACCATCCACTTTCTTTGGCTTCAATTTTTTATTTTTTTATTTATTATACGCTATTAACGTGATTAAGTACACAAGAAATAATTAAAGAAAATAGTCACATAATAGAATTAAAAAGAAAAATAGGTGGAAAAAATAAGTTGAGGGAGAGAAAAAAAAAATTGGTGTGGACGGTGGTAAAAATACGGACCTAGTGATAGGACGCCCGGGGGTTGTTGCTGCGATTTTTCAAATAAATGTGGTCATTGGAAAGAAATAGAACAGAAATTATTATAGAGAGCATGTTCGATGAACAAAAAAGTTTTTTCTAATGTTTGATTTAGGCAATTTGTAGTGATATCTGGTGTTACTTCGAGTGACATTATCGGTAATCAGGGTGAAGAGATCCTCTGTATTCAAGTCAATTTTTTTATTGTTGACTTTTTTCAAGAATAGTTTATCTAAGACAATTCTACGACTTTTTAAACTTACCAATCCAAATTCTTCATTTCTTTTATCAGCATATTTATATTTTTCATGATTTGGAAGTAAAAATTTACCTTCAATTCTGAAAAACAATTTACGCGTGAAATTATTTTGGCTACTTTCTATAAGATTGAGAATGTTTTTCTTAACTTTAAACTTTTTTTTCTTGACCAATTTTTCCAGAAAAAAAAAATTCAAAAACATTTCCTGACCCAAATTTTGTGCTGAAAATGCTGGAATTACTTCGAATTGCTGAAAATCAATGTTTCCAGCATTTTCAGCACAAAATTTGAGTCTAGAATCTTGAAATTCTTGAGAATAATTAAATGAAGCATTGATGAAGCACAAATCTGCTTGAAAAATAGTTCCGCGCTAAAATTTTGTGCTGAAATTGCTGAAATTACTTATCATTATTAAAAATGATAATTTTCAGCATTTTCAGCTGAAAATTTTAGTACGGAACCATGTTTAAAACTTTTAAAAAATATGAAAAAATGTTATTCAATAAAAAAATCACAAAAAATAAAATAAATTACTCCTTTTTGAGGCTCGAGCTGCAAAAAAAATCAATAATTTTTTGAATTTTCAAATTTCCCGCCAAAATAAACTCACTGATCATTGGATCCACTCAAGACCAAATACGGTGTCGAAAGTTGTTTTTGTTTTTTCAATTGTTTGCTGAGTGTTCCGAGCGGAGTCATACCACGCCCAGGGTGAGGCATTTGCACGGCGCCAATAAAAAAATACGGAAATTCACCTCGCCAATTTTAAATTTTCTTGAAAAACAGCAAAATTTTGCTTGTTTTTTCGTTAAAAAGTCGTATTTTTCAGTCGAAAACGTTGTTTTCACCTCGCCAAAAAATTTCAAAACCCACACCGCCAATTTTTAAAGTTAATTTGCACGAAGCTGGGCGTGGTATGAGCGGAGTGTCGTAGCTATTTGTCTGGAAATTATGGTGATTTTTTGGCTGAAAATCCTAAATATCAGAGAAATATCGATTTTTTTTCGAAAATTGTTCAAAATTTGGAGACGCTTCTGGATCTTCTCGGAAAAAAAAAACCTTGCTTTAAACATGATTCCGAACTCCAATTTTTCAGCTGAAAATGCTGATAATTTCAGCACAAAATTTCAGCGGGGAACTATGTTTCAAGCAGATTTTTGCTTCATTAATCTGATTATTTTCAAGAATTTAATCAGATTCTAGACCTGAATTTTGTGCTGAAAACACCGGAAACATTGATTTTCAGCAATTTCAAATAATTTCAGCATTTTCAGCACAGAATTTGAGCCAGGGATTTATAAATACCAACAAATGTAAGTAATTACATAAACTTTTGTGAAAAAATGTTATTTACATAAATGTTTTTCAGTTCGGAATCAACAACAACATCGGATGAAAAAGCATCTTCAAGAAGCCCAAAAACCAAACATCGAAAGAAGAAAAAAAACAATTTGGAAGTAAGAAAAGAAAAGAATCGACGGCATCAATTTGAACAATATTTCCAAAATTTTTGAAACGTATATTTTCCACCCGGATATTTTTGGATGATTTTTTCTGATATTTTCAGAAGGGATTACTGTAGAGTACACGTGGCAAAATTAAATCGAAAAATTTCAGATATTTTCAACCATTTTTTGGGGCTGAAAAATGTTTTTTTTTCTTGATCAATTTTTCCAGAAAAAAGTTCAAAAACATTTCCAGATCCAAATTTTGTGCTGGAAATGCTGGAAACATTTATTTATCAAAACTGACAATCGATATTTTCATCATTTTCAGCACAAAATTTGAGTCAGAAAATGTTTTCGAATTTTTTTCTGGAAAAATTGATCAAGAAAAAAAAGTTTGCGAAAAACTTTTTCAGTTCCAAAAAATGGCCGAAAATATCTGAAATTTTTTGATTTAATTTTGCCACGTGTACTCTACAGTAATCCCCTCAAAAACTCTGAAAAAATCAGAAAATAGCATTCAAAAACCCGGGTGAAAATTATACGTTTCAAAAAATATTGGAAATATTTTTCAAAATGATTTCAAAGTGATCCTTTGAGCGGCCTTCCTCTTATAATTAAAAGAAAATACAAATTCCTGACTACAATATTTTGTGCTGAAAATGTTGAAATTACTTTTGATTGCTGAAAATCAATGTTTCCAGCGTTTTTTTTGGATAGATAAAAATTATTTTCATTTTCTGTTTGCTGGTAATTTTTGTGTGAAAAAATCAGAAAATTTGCAATTTTTGGTTAATGGTTTGTTTAAGAAAAAAAAGTTTGCGAAAAAAATTTTCAGCCACAGAAAATGGCTGAAAATATCTGAAATTTTTAACTTTAATTTTCGCCACGTGTACTCTACAGTAATCCCCTCAAAAATTCTGAAAAAATCAGAAAATATCATCCAAAAATATCCGGGTGGAGAATGTACGTTTCAAAAATATTAGAAATATTTCCGCTGAGTTACCTCGAAGTTTCAGTCATACCAAAGAAGAAGAATGACAAGCCTGAAGTACGTTTCAAAAATATTGGAAATATTTTTCAAAAAAGATTTCAAAATGATGGAGTTGGCTGTGCTTTATGAAAACCACAACTGTGTTTGCGAATAACTATTGTTTCCTCTTGCGAATTTTTTGAGCTGAAAGAATTTCAATGAGTTACTGTAGACTTTCAGCCAATCAGCACAAAATTTGAGTCTAGAATCCTGTTCTGATAAAATTCTTGAAAATAATTAGATGAAGAGTTCCTTGACCAAAAACCTTGCTTTAAACATGGTTCCGTACTCAAATTTTCAGCTGAAAATGCTGATAATCATCATTTTTGATAATGTCAAGTAATTTCAGAATTTTCAGCACAAAATTTCAGTGCGGAACTATTTTTCAAGTAGATTTGTGCTTCATTAATGCTTCATCTAACTAGTTTCAATAATTTTATCAAATCAAGATTTTAGACTCAAATTTTCTGCTGAAAACGCTGAAAACATTGATTTTCAGCAATTTCAAGTTATTTCAACATTTTTAGCACAAAATTTGAGTCAGGAAATGTTTTTGAACTTTTTTCTGGAAAAGTTGATAAAAAAAAAATTTGCGAAAAAGTTTTTCAGCCACAAAAAATGGTTGAAAATATCTGAAATTTTTCGCTTTAATTTTGCCACGTGTACTCTACAGTAATCACCTCAAAAATTCTGAAAAAATCAGAAAATATTCCGATTCACAGTAACTTTCAAACAACAGTAGCTACAGTAATTCATTGATCTACAGTACTCTAAAACTACAGTGAATTGTTGACCTGAAAAATGACAGTTTGGATAGAAAATAACTTTTTCGCCACGTGGATTCTACAGTAATCCTCTTTAAAATTTTTAACAAGATTACTGTAGGCGTCACGTGGCAGCATTAAAGTCCAAAATTTCAGATATTTACAGTCAGATTGTGAGTTTCAGAGCTCTAGAGCACAGATTCTAGCTCCAGAACTCAAAAATGTCGATTTTCAGGGTGAATTTCAGGCTTCCTGCCTGAAATTTCAGTTTTTTCTCAAATTTCATACCTAAAACCTAGGCTTTAGGTTGTTTTCTTCAAAATTTCAAGATTTTTGCCCGAAATCCCAGCTTTTTCCTCACCCGAAACCTTGATTTTTCAAATTTCAATGTTTCGGGTTCGGGAAAAGCTGAAACTTTCAGATTTTCCTAATATTCTTTAAATTTTCCCCAAAAATACTTACATTTCATTCAAAATCCGTTTTCCAATCATTCGATTGTTGTTTTGTCCGCCAAAATCCAATCTCGCTTTCATCCAAAATGTTTCTATAAAAATAATCATGAAAAACCCCGGGATTTTTTGAATTTCCGGAGAAAAATACGTAAAAATCAAACCTGACAACTTGAAATCGGCTTTTTCCGAAACATTCATACAAAACTCGATTCTGAAAAAATTAAAAATCAATTTTTGACGAAAAAAATTGAGAAAAAATTAACATTTCGAGAGAAAACAACTAAAATACAAACTAAATTCCTCAAATTACATCTAGAAATCAAAAAACTCTTCAATTTCAGACAAATTTCAGCTATTTTCAGATGACCGCCTCAAAAAAAACCAGAAATGAACAGAAATGTGTAAACACGTGAGATGACGCAATAATGCACACAAATAAAAGCGGACGTTTGAAAATTTGATTTTTTTTTGTTTTTTTTTTTTTGTTTTTCGAAGTTGTAAATCAGTTCCTGGGAGCTTTTAAACTTTAAAAAAAAAGAAAAAGCCAACAAAGCGCTAAATAACGGGCAAGCCGTCATTTGCGGAGTGTCGTTGCACACTTTTTTATTTTTTGGTGAAAAATCAATCGATTATTGTGGTTTTCGAGTGAAAATTGATGAAAAATGTGGATTTTGGTTAGAAATGTGAAATTTTGAGTTGAAAATCAAAAAAAAAATGGAAAGGTAAGAGAAAATGATGAAAAAAGGGTTAATAATTGAAGCATATTCTTTCAGTTCAAAAAAAAAAACAATATTTATTGAGACGACTCAAATTTTGTGCTGAAAATCAATGTTTTCAGCGTTTTCAGCACAAAATTTGAGTCTAGAATCTTGATCTGATTAAATTATTGCTTGGGACAAAAAAATTGACCAAAATAATTAGATGAAGCGTTAATGAAGCACACATCTGCTTGAAAAATAGTTCCGCGCTGAAATTTTGTGCTGAAATTATCAGCATTTTCAGCTGAAAAATTGGAGTTCGGAACACATTTTTGGGGCTATAAAAAAGGCGGCTCAATGAGCATCACTTTATTTTCGAAAGCTAGAAATACTAGAAAAATTTTCGCAATCCATTCAAGCGAAACATGGAAAAGTAAGAGAAAAAGAAAGGAACAGAGTAATTAATTGAAGTATATATTCTTTCAGTGATTCCAAAAACGTGATCTTGGTGTGTAAGCAATCATTTTGAAATCTTTTTGAAAAATATTTCCAATATTTTTGAAACGTACATTTTCCACCCGGATTTTTTTGATGACATTTTATGAATTTTTCAAAATTTTTGAGGGGATTACTGTAGAGTACATGTGGAAAAATTAAAGCAAAAAATTTCAGATATTTTCAGCCATTTTTTGTAGCTGAAAAAGTTTTTCGCAAACTTTTTTTCTTGACCAATTTTTCCAGAAAAAAATTCAAAAACATTTCCTGACCCAAATTTTGTGCTGAAAATGCTGAAATTACTTCGAATTGCTGAAAATCAATGTTTCCAGCATTTTCAGCACAAAATTTGAGTCTAGAATCTTGAAATTCTAGAATAATTAAATGAAGCATTGATGAAGCACAAATCTGCTTGAAAAATAGTTTCGCGCTGAAATTTTGTGCTGAAAATGCTGAAATTACTTAACATTATTAAAAATGATAATTTTCAGCATTTTCAGCTGAAAATTTGAGTACGGAACCATGTTTAAAACTTTTAAAAAATATGAAAAAATGTATTCATTCAAAAATCACAAAAAATAAAATAAATTACTCCTTTTTGAGGCTCGAGCTGCAAAAAAAATCAATAATTTTTGAATTTTCAAATTTCGCGCCAAAAAAACTCACTGATCATTGGATCCACTCAAGACCAAATACGGTGTCGAAAGTTGTTTTTGTTTTTTTCAATTGTTTGCTGAGTGTTCCGAGCGGAGTGTCGTAGCTATTTATCTGAAAATTTTGGTGATTTTTTGGCTGAAAATCTTGCATTTCAGAGAAATGTTGATTTTTTACTG